TTTTTGTTGCACTTCGGTGTTTCTGTTGTTCAGTTGTTTTCCTCTTATAGTTGATGTCCTTCCCTCGGTTTTAGTTTGTAACCCAGATTTGTTTTCTCTCAATCGATTTATGACTTTTGAACAGCGGTATACTGCTGTTGTCTTTATTATTGCAACAATTGATCAATAATTCATACAATACACGATCTTCCAATTTGCATTTCCAGGAAACATTTAATGTCAGGAAGCAAATATCTTCACATCACAATGTCATGATCATATATGACGCGTTTTTCCCCAAATGACCCAGGTAAAACGGGACAGTTCATTTATAAAACTGAATTTGGAAAGTCGTCTATTGAATCAGGAATTTATTTGTATACATGTGTTTTTATGTTGCTGAAAAAGTCTATCGCATTTGCTATTCCCTTATCTTGTTAAATCTGTCAGGTATATTCTCAAATGTACCGTTTGGTACAACTGTATAAACATGCCTACATACATCACTTCAAAAATATTTGTTATTGTTATGTTGGCTACCACATGTTCATGATAATATAGTCCAGATCCAAATTTAATACTAGTATACCAACTTTCCAGCGTACCCAGAACGATTGGTATTCAGCGCAACTCAGAAGATTTGGAGAATAAAATTCAATCGTTTTTTTACGTTTTTAATCTGTACCCAATAGACGAAATTGTGTTACCAACAATATAAATACTGTAAATAGGTTGTCTGGAATCCTTTTCGTCTGAACTTGAATATAAAACAGCAGCATGTTTACAAGCCTTCACTTCAAATGCAACGAAAGGTGTGACATTAAAGCACAAATGGTAAAACCAAATATATCTCCTACTTAGTAAATTGTTACTCACTGTTCTCGTTTTGGAGTAAAAATTAAATTTTGACGTAAAACACCTTTACAACATGTTTTTGACACTACTTTTCGGAATTTTTGGTTTTTAATGCTCTTCAGCTTCGTAGTATTTGATTTGGCTTTCCAACTGTTTTGGTGTGAGCGCCACTGATGAGTCTTGTGTAGCCGAAACGCCTGTCTGGCATACCAAATTATGGTATTTTTCATGAATTTCTATGTAATGATACCAAATCCTTGTTGACCAATATCAAACCAGTCAGATGTTTCCTTCACAATTGTATCACGAGCTCAGTAGTCTGTGCTCTTATGCTTGTTGAAAAATGATGGATATGAAGGATATAAAAATACTTCGAAACACTTAGATTTGTCTGTCCAAGGCATAATTGGCCGTGATCAAATTTGGCATAACTCTTGGGAAATTTTAGCTTCCAATGTATTTCAAATCTGTTAAGGATTTTGCTATCCAAGTGATAATTCGAGAGCCATTGATGAGTCTTATGTCAACGAAAGGCGCATTGAAATAATTCATTTTTATTAAATTTTCACGATTTTAGAAAACAACGACATATTTTTCTCTATATTCATCTGATGCAAAAAAATCATTGGTGATTTTTTTCTTTAAATTTGGTACACATTCAAGCCAGATGTAATTTGAAAAGAGGTACTTGTACTCCTTTTCAAACTAACGATCAAAAGCAGTTCAATTTTGTTTTCAAATATGTCACAGTTTGACGTCGCAAATATAAAATTGTTGGCCTTTTTGCAGATATTTTTTTTTTCCTCCATTAAAATCTGAATTTTAAAAAAGTGCATTTCACCATTTACTTCTTGATATACGTCTTTTAAAATCTTTTTGTGATGGGACACATATATATATTATATTTGAGAACGCATATTTCAGAAGTTCATTTGTATTTGTTTTTAGATAATTTAGATTTTAAAGCTTTTATATTAAAAGATATGATCCATTATCTATATTGCCCTCTGAAATTTCAGTAAAGTCAAGCATGCGATATAAAATATTTACAGCATTATTCAATTCATTTAAGTGCCAACATCCTTTTATCTTTGATCTTATTATAAACTACGGTAGAACAGAAAACTGTCCTTAGCAACAGAGTTCAGACCCCTCTCCCCGACCACCCCCCCGGGTTTTGACGTTGTGTAGTGTTTTGTTGACTGTCGTCTATTGGACACTTTTCTTTTTCTATGGTGATAAATGTTTCTTCGATTTATAGTTTTTATTTCTATTTTTCAATATTGTTTACAGGTAAGATTTTGTTTGAATTAAATGAATTAAGAGACCAACTAAGTTAAACAATACGTAATAACATACATTCAATTAAACATGGTAAATATGTGAATAATGTAAAATACAGATTACATGGATAGCTGAGTACTTTTCATGCAATATCTGATATATCTCGTACATATTTTAACACCGCTGGGATTTTTGCACAAAAATATTTTACCCTTTTTTGTAATGGTAAGGTACAAAACGTTATTCCGTTTTTACTCTCACAGAAGCGCTTGATCATTTTTATGCTTTTCCTAATAAGTCTTGATAGTCGTGGGGGCTAGACGAGATAAAAATGAAATATAATTTCAAATGTTTAGTTTACTCATTTCAATTGATATTCAATGTAATTCAACAGATGTATCATGTTCTGCAGGGGTATATCTGGAGAAATGAGTCTTAATGGCAGAAACTTTCATTGTTTTTGTAGACTCTGGACAATTTAGAGTTTGACATTTGTATTGTTGAGTTTTTGACTTATGTACGATTATCCACTCTACTTTTATTCATATTGAGAAACATATTTGACGATAAAAAGAGATGTAACCCATTTTCTCATCGCGAACTTTTCATTCTTATGAAACATATTTCAAAATATATATTTGACTCTACTTTTTTTTCGTTTGGATGATCAATCCGTAATAGGATTTTTACTTCATTCAACAAATATGACCCCTCTTGTTCACTTAATAAATAAAATGGAATAAGATCAATGAATAACTGATAAAAATCATGGGAATTCTTGAAACACAGAAAATACCTGGCTTCCTAATGAACTCACAAGTTAACAATATTCGCTAGGAAATGGTACACAAGTTGTGAATTCTAGTTACTAGCATGTAGACAAAATATGCCTAAACAGAACATAGTACTCTTCAAAGAGTAAAGTTTTGAATCTACAATGTTACATTGAGTATGTACGAATCATTCAATAAATCATTTGATGCTGCGAGGCAGCTGGTTAATAAAACTAATTTTGTACAAATTCTTCATTTTTTCATATTTTATTTTATTAAATCGTTATTTAAATTCAAAATAACATTATTATTTAACCATCTGTATGACTGCATATTAATAAGTTAATATTATGATGTTTCTTTGTCAAATAGCTAAATGACGTTTCCTAGGCTGTGACTCGAAAAATCTATGTCCATACTTCATTAAGGCACATCGAGTGATATCTCAGACAGAATCTAACATACAATGATAACCACTTCATAGCATTGACTCGTTCTCTGCACAAGGTTCGTTGTGGATGGGTGATGAATGTTTTGATTCGCTATAATAAAACAAACTTAGCTTTTGAAATTAAGTAATAACATATAGTAAATTCATATGAAGAATTGGTCAGACGACATAAAAATAACTTATGTCATTGCTTTTTTGGAAAATTGTAAACTGTACAAGATTATCAATCTTGTATTTTCCTGTATTAGGAGAGTTGTCTCAGAGACAAAGATTCATTGTGAACTACGATGAAAGCCATAAAACTGAAATTGGGTGCGTCATTAAACTTGATGTAAACACATTTCATTTTTCAAAATCTGTTTCCTATCTTGTATATGACAGACAATGGTCATTTATACCTTTGATTTTGTTAAAAAGAGATATTTCCTTTAAATTGAACGGTACATATGGCGATTGGTGACGTTTTCATTTACCCTCGATTTAAGTTAACTTGTTGGTAAAGCGATATATCAATGATATCCTAGATGTAAGAATTATATTCATTTTTATTTTCGAATATTTGGTAGAAGATACATTTATATAAACACAAATAGTGTATACATTGTCACTTGCCTGCCACTATTTAATTGATAGGTAAGCTTTTTGTAAAAGCTATATTTCTATATGATTTTTGACGTTTTCGCCGTTAAATATATTTGCCGTATTTGCCGCCCGTCATTATGACGTTATGATTTACTATGATGATGTTATTTCAATTTGTTTACGGCAGTTTTTTATTTGGATTGTATTTGAACACACCAGACTATTTTTATAAGAAAGCATATATTTGATCCGACTTTAGCATTCATTTCTTTATCAAGAATTGTATCAATTGTATATGAAATATATTGGTTTAATCATTTGTGCAAACTTTGTACTTTATCAAAACACATGTTTTGTTTTGGTTTTTTTTTTTTATCTTTTATTATGATTGAGAAGTAATTAATGCACTGTATACTACTGTAAATTCAGAAATTATTGCGAGGTTTTTATTAATGCGAATAACGCGAGTGGATGAAGATCGCAATAACAAGAACTCGCATTTTGATATCTAATACTTATATCTGTATGCAGATTTTCCTGAAATCGCAATAATTAATCTCGCATTTTAGTTCATTCTTCAAAAATCGCAATAATAAATGCACGCAATAATTTCTGAATTTACAGTATTTTTATGATGAACGGAATTTAGTTTCACTGTCATTTATGTATTTGCAGAGAATCGTATCGTATTCAACGTAATTAGAGAACTGATCTGATACGCATACTTGACTTTGTTTTTGATTTACTCTGTGGTCCAAACACTAGATACCAGATTTGTTATCAAAGCACAAAGGGATTCAAATGAATAGTTTTAGTTGTCTATAAATAAGCAGACATTTTTTATGAAGACGTACCATATTCTTAGCAATGTGTTGATGATTCGTAGACCGCGACTTACTTAATAAACGAAATCACGCATTTGAGGTAGGATTAACTCTGGTATTTCTATTCTTATGTTTATTTGTAAATACGATACTTATAAATGATCCGAATTATTACAATTAATGATGGATGACCACATGAGTCGTGATTCCGGGGTCACTGTTTAGCTTTCAGAATGTATACGATTTGGAATCTTAGTTATTCCATTTATTCCTGAAAATGTTGAGCATCTCATTACGTGTGACACATAACATCCAAATTTGAACACACCAATATAGTATGATAAAAGACAGTTTTATGTAATCATTTAGACACGCTTTCGTCGTGTTTGCTTTTTCTGGGTTTTTTTACTTCATCTGATAATCTCCATTTTGTTTGAGAGTTTTTTTATGAAAACAAGTGTAAAATATATTTCGATAAGTTGCCAATATGTGCATACACTCCCTACATATACTTTGTTTTCTATAATTGGTAAATTGATATATACCTGGATGTGTTAATAGCTTCCTGTACTGTATCAGGTAGCTTGGTTTTTCCAGTTTCTGGCAAAAATAGGGCAAGTAAGCCTGCTAATGTTCCAACTGAACCAAATATAATGAGTGGCAACGCTTGACCAAACCTCGTGTCTAACAATACACCCTTAGAAAATAAAAATAATTGCCAACTTTATATTTTATAAATCAAGATAAGGGTTCAATAAATATATACATAATATTATGCTTAAATTATTGATGCACATATAACTTTATTTCAAAATTGTCAATCAGATATCTTTTTTCACCTTTTGGGTGTATATTAAAAGAAATTCTGAGAAAAATTGTCACTTTAAGTAACACGAGTGCCACATGCTAAGCAAGGTCTGCTTACCCTTCCGGAGCACATGAGATCAACCCCAAGTTTTGGTGGGGTTTGTGTTGCTCAGTCTAGTTTTCTATATTGTGTTTTATGTACTGTTGTCTGTCTGTTGGTCTTTTTCTTTTTTGCCATGGCGTTGTCAGATTGTTTTTTTGTTGTTTTTTGCCATGGCGTTGTCAGTTTATGTTCGACTTATTAGTTTGAATGTTCCTTTGGTATCTTTCGCCTACCTCTTAAGCAAAGTTATAATACATTCAATAGAAGCATATCTGTAATATATCTAATGACCAATCTAAATGAAATGTTTTTAGAATAACGTACCACCAACAAACTGATTTCGTTGCAATCTTTGTATATAGTTATAAAAAAAACTCATTAAAGATAACAGGCTTATAATTGTGTACGCCAAACGCGCTTCCGCTTACAAAAGACATATCAGTGCCGTTATGAATAAGAAAAAGGTAAACGGTCAAATAAAATACAAAGCTTAAGGGCATTGGTGACCCTTAATTCCGAAAGAAATAATATTCAATTAGTATCCAACCGGAATTCTAATGTAATAGTCTATCAACTACTTAAACAAATGAATTTGAATCTCTTAAGTCGAAAAAAGAGGCGACAGGTACCAAGGGGACATTCAACACTTGTAAGTCGAGATAAACTGACAACACCAAGAAAACACGAGCGACGAAAAATAGACTAACAAACACACTGCCTAGAAAATTCAAGAGTGAGCAACACGAATCATACCAAAATTTTTAAAGGAACTCAGGTGCTCCAGAATTGTAAACAGACTCGAAAGTGTTATATTTATTGATGGTAATAAGTGTTCCCGGTAAGGTTTTGCAGACATGTTTTCATTTACGGCTTGAAAAGTTTGGTCACCTGCATGATAGATATGCTGGAAGGTATCATGATGAAAAAAGTAAAACAAAAATACAGAACCCCAAGGCAAATTAAAAAAGGGAAAGTCCACAAAAACTGACAAAATCAATTTCTATCAACCAACGGAGCGAGTGAAAAAAACAACTGTCATATTCCTGACTTGGTACAGTCATTTTCCGAAGAAAATTGTGGATTAAACCTGGGTTTATAGATAGCAAAACAACCCACTTGTATGACATTTGTTTATAGTTCCGTTATTTTGACAAAATTTGATTACCAACCCAAACACACATAAGCAGCCAAAACGGTGTAACCATACATCACAGACATACAACACAACGGACTATAAAATTAAAAAAAACATATCAAACGAGTAGTATTCCGTATGTTTGTTTATTATTTCCTTTGTTTTCTATACATCGAGAAATTCTTCATTTGTATTTGTTTTTAATGAGCTACATTATGCATGCAGTCGTAAATTCAATTACCTACCAGTTTACCAATATAAGAGGAAGATATTGAGCCAACTCTACCTCCCATGTCACAAAAGGAAAATGCTGTTGCTCGTATTATTGTGGGGAAAATTTCAGCTGTGATTATATATATTAGAAAAAAAGCAGTAGAAACGCATAGTTTTCCAATCATTGCCAAAGAAATAGTCAACCACTGCAATGCTGGAAAAAAATATTTAATAGTATTTTCTTAGATATATATTCGAAGCATAAATAAAGTTAAAAACATAAATCAAATTAAAGTATTACTGTTAATAGGTAATAAAGAGGATTTCAATTATAATAACCAGGCAAGCCCTTCTTTAAATTAGCAAAACGAAATGATAAATAAATATTTGAACCTAAAAGAAAATTCTTATAAAGCAATTTCCGTCTGCACGATGAATATCTCCCGTCTAAATCCGTGTTTAGGTCGAAATCGTGTAGGATATGAATGGGTGTACTTAGTTTTACACACATATCAAACGCAACCCTGTCATGATAAGAAACGCAAACTTTGAAATATCGTATCAACTAGGGGGGGGGGGGGGGGGGGGGGGGGGGGGGGGGGGGGGTAATAATCCATATGCAGGCGCTATATGAGTTATAATATATATAAAAAAAAAAAAAAAAATAAATCTTTACATTTTGCGTCTAATAGAGAGTTATCTACAGAAAAGATGGAACCCTCTTTACATCAAGGGTTTTTTTGCTGCAATGGTGCATTAGGCGTCTTCTTATTCCTCGAATTGATATCTTTTAAACGGTTTCCATTTGACGTAAAATAAATAATTATCAAAGTGATATTTGTTAGATTTTTGTAACTTACAATACTATTTGATTTACTTTAAATGAACAAAAAAAATGACCAATGTCTCTTTAACTGCAAACTATGATTCAACTTTATGAACATCTGAGATCACTTTTTGGTTTTATTTAAATTGTATCGTAGAAGCTATTTAGTTTTCGGCGTTGTTTATAGTTTCAAATCAGCAAAATTATTTGTTTGCTGGTTTTAATTCTTATTTAATCATGGAATGTGACATTTTAAAATTTCCTTAAGAGTATGCTACATCAAGCAATGGAAAAACATTGTGAAAAAGATGTTAAATGAACAATATAATGATTACGAAAAAAAGCACATTTCTAAATAAGAACATTTTAATTAGTTTCTAAAGATTGCTCAACAGAATGAAAGTATTGAAAGACTGACAAACTGAAAGTAACAAAATCGCAAAATTTATTACATTGCCATCTGCATGTTCTATAAAGGAATTGTGCATTAGATTGACAAAAATTCTGTTCGCAGTCAAAGAAGGTCTTCAGAAATTCTGTGAAACTGTTTACTCGCGTAGTGGTATTAACCATATGTGGATTCTAAAAAAACTCTAAAGAACTTCTGGATAATTTTAAACCTCGATCTTTCTCTGAAATTAATTCTATCAAAACATTTGATTTTTCAACCCTTTATACCACCATTCCCTATGTCAAATTGAAAAATCGTCTAAAAAAAATATTCCATTATGCCTCCCAATATAAAAATGGTAGCATACGCGTTAGATTTATTACTTTGGGATACCATACGACATATTTTGTTAATAGTGAACAAAAAGGTAAAGCATGCTATACCGACGAACAATAAAGGCAACAGTAGTATACCGGTGTTCAAAAGTCATAAATCGATTGAGAGAAAATAAATTCGGGTTACAAACTAAAAGCCAGGGAAACACATCAACTGTAAGCGGGAGTTTCTCGCTGCATTGAAGACCCATTGGTGGCCTTCGGCTGTTGTCTGCTCTGTGGTCGGGTTGTTGTCTCTTTGACACATTCCCCATTTCCATTCTCAATTCTATAAGAGGAAAACAAAGGAACAACAGGAACACTGAAGTGCAACAAAAACAAACGCCAACATACATAGAAACGAACTATTTGATCTAGTGATTAGTAAGCTGGAGTTTCTTATTGGCCATATATTTGTTGAATTTTGAGGTAGACTTTTTCACAAATTGTCGGCATTCCTATGGGAACGAACTGTGCGCCTCTCCATGCCGACCTCTTCTTATTTTCATAAGAGTCGGAGTTCCCTTAGACACTTGTCAAAAACAAGAAGATCAGAGAAGCCAGTTCATTTAATTTCACATTCAGATATATTGATGATGTTCTTTCCATTAGCAATCCCAAATTTTCTGATTGGGTACCATTTATATATCCTCAATAACTAGAAAATTAAAAAAAAAAACAGACACGGCTTCTTCTGCCTCATAATTAGACTTATACCTCGAATTTGACATAAGCGGACAACAAAGTACCAGAATCTATGACAAACGAGACGATTTTAAATTTTAAAATTTTAAATTTCCCCACCTTAGCAGCAATATATCAAATTCACCTTCATATGGGATCATTCGGTATTCAAGAGCTTGCAGATGCTACTCAGACTTTATAAAAGGTCACCCGTGTCTGAGCAGAAAGTTGATGAACCAGGCTAATGTCAAAGAACATCTCGTCTTTTTCCAAAAAAGTTCATCGGAAGATACCAAGACCTTGTTTATAAATATTCAGTTTCAACTTCACAAATAATACATGATGGTCTTGAAGTATAGATTATAGGTACTGACGTTGTTTATCATCTTAATTACGTGTTATAGTGTTCTTTTTATTTGTCTTTGTATATTTTTTACCTTTACTGTTTAGTCCATTTTTGGAAATATCCTTTTGGCGTGGCTCGGTACTCATACATCAAGCCATTGTGTTATTGTGCTATGGTCATTTTTGTATTCTTGTCTTTCATTTCTGCCTATGTGTCTTCATGCCATTTTGTTTTTCTTTGTTGACAAAGTTGTTTGTTTTTATAGTGATTAAAATAATAACACCATGTTGACTGTTGTACCCCAATGTTTGACATTTTACCCATTATGACTCACACATTGTTGTAAATATAATGGAATTGTACGCGACTGTTATACAAGTGAGAGGTTTAGCTAGCTATAAAACCAGGTTTAATCAACCATTTTCTACATAAGGAAATGCCTGAATCAAGTCAGGAATATGACAGTTGTTTTCCATTTGTTTGATGTTTGATTTTGCCATTTGTTAAGGGACTTTTCATTTTGCATTTTCAATAGAGTTGTTTTATTTTACTTTTTACATGTTGAGTCAATATCAATTATGACTTATATCATCAATCAAATCTTCATAAAAGCACATGAGTTGTCCTTAACGGAAAAGTTTTTTTTTTTACTTATGAAATATAAATTGAACAATGTTAAGCGGTAAATGAGAATTTCAAACATATCCGTAATAATGCTTCACTCTTTCACTTATGTTTTTGATGAACTAATGTATCAACATATCAAGCATGTCAAGTGTAAGAAAGAATGATACACGTTACATGTTCCAACGCTATTTTACTTACCACGTGAGTGCTTTTATCAGATTTTTATATAGTAAGATGGATTTTTCGAAATTTCCTATACCATTACTCAAATATGAAATGATTAATCAATGAAAAACAATCCTTTGTACAACAAAATTGCTCAATATTCATATATGGTCGTGTTTTTATGTTTGTAATAGTAAAATATTCTATTATAGTGCATTTTATTTGCTATGAAACTGTTATAGCTTTGGTTTCTTTTTTTTTTTTTTTTTTTTTTTTTTTTAGGGGTAACGTATAGAAGTTTATCCAAAAAACGTGTTTTGTTGGCATGGATATCATATCATTTTTTATGTTTGGTTTTACTTAATTACATTAGATTTTGCATGAACTTACAATTTCCCCCAAAGGTTGATGTAAATAATGTACACAAACAAGAACAGCCTCCAATAATCATAGAAGAGCAAAATATTCTTTTCCTTGGAAACCTGTCTGAGAAAAAACAGAACAAAACTGCTATTGTCTCTGCTGTAGTAGATATGGCGTAGTTTATATAGACGTTTCCGGCTAGGTCGCCAATATTCAAACTTATTCCGTAGTATATCAAATTTACCGCCATCCTTTAAAATAAAACAGAATACTGTATTCTATAGAGGTATTAACGACATACCGATTACAGTATGGAGTATCATTTAGCAAAAGATACAAATGTCTTATGTTCAAAGAATATTATTACTAGTAAATCTGTAAAAAAAGTTCATTATTAGAACTTCTTTTGCAGGAGTACGCTCCTAAGATTAAAACATCGTTATATTACTGTTCACTCTCATTGATGTGCCAAACATTTTTATCATACACATTTTCTGAGTCCTTTATGGTTTCCTACATATTTACATAGAAAGGTCTAGTGAGGATAACTATTTAATTCTTAAAAGAGAAGCGGAAGATACAAAAGGGATATTTAATAACCTTGAAATTGAATCTTATGAAGGCCACATCTGCAGGAGTCCGATGGTGCACCACTAGTTCCTAATACGGCACCTAGCTCATTCCATAACAAAGTCAAAGGGAGAAATGTCAGGACTTTTTAATCTTTGTCAAGGACTAGTGTCAGAAATGAAATAAGATTTAGGGAATCTTCGGTTATAGAGTAACCCGGACAGTCATATGCCTTTCATCAACACAAATAATCCCAACAGACAAAAAAAAAATGAAATGACTAAAAAACAACCTCTGACGATGCTCCTGACACCGAAAAGTCACATGAATACCATAATAGACAAAGCAAATATTGGCATGTGGAGTGGAGAAATAAGTTGTTAGTACCCAAATCTCAAATCCTAATCAGAGGTATTGGAACACTGAAAAATATAATGTCGGACAAACTTTCAAAAAAAAATTAACACCTAATCAGGCCACCTATCTATTAACTTTGGTTTGAATTTATTAAATAGTATGCAGTTTCCCAGTGAAAATAATTATTTTGAGATAAACTGCAAGGACAGGCTAGTTGTGAGGTTAGAGTAAAGTATATAAAAACGGTGCATGGTCAACACACGACTCCCAATGATAGACAATTGTACATACCATATTTCAAAGTCTAAATAGTACAAAGTCTACACAAGTTGTACATGAATTAAAAAGTAACTAACAATGATTACCTACGGCACTAAAAATTTCATAACCAATATTTGTTTCCATTAGATGAGTCAAACAGTTTTTCGTGTAATTGCTTTAAAATTACTTGATGGATTCTACTTGTATTACATGGAATTGCATTCACTAATTTCTAATTTAAAATAAAATGCAAACATCGAACACAAATATAGGAAACAAACCAGTTCAGTATCAAAATCAATGATCTGAATAACATTTGCTTTGACTTCATCATTGTTTTTATCCCTGTCGTAATTGAAATAGTTTCTTCTTTCTTCACGACAATAGTCTCTGTTGTAAAATCAACCGATATTTGATTGTGTTTTGCAGCTTTTTTGATGATTTCTATCGCTTTTTTATTTCTGCCTTTGGTTAATAACCATCTTGGTGATTCTGCAATATATCTGTCGAGGTAAAGAACACACATTAATGTCTATAATCGAAGTTTTGGCCGTCTTAAACCTTTAAATACTAGAATAATCGTCTGACATTTAATTTTACAGAATGTTTCCCTCAAGATTGTAACATTATTTCTGAGTACGGATTCACCTGATCGGTGATCGCATGCATAGCAGGGAACGCTTACCTTGTCTACGTATCTTAAATTATGAAATGAGATCACCATCGGTTTTTTTGTGGGGTTCGTGTTGCTCAGTATTTAGTTTTCTGGGTTATGATTGTATTCTGTTGTTTGTCATGTCTTTTCTTTTTTTCGGGGGTTGTATTTATACGACTTGATATTTGAATACCTTTTAAGTATTCCCTTCACTTTTTGATATATTTTTTTCGTTTTAAGCAGTCTAAATGATGCCAAATAAGGAAAACATCCATTAGGTAAACTTTGAATCTTTTTAAGCAGGTCCTGATATTTATTACATGGTGAGCGGGGTTTTGGTGTTTTTTTTAATGATATTGGTATCATTTCAAAATTATCTCTACATTTTAACAATTATTATCATTTTCATTATTATTTTCATTTTCCTTATTAGTAGCCAATTGAAATTGTGTCAGTTTAGATAAAAGTAAAATATCAAAAACCGAACTCCAAGGAAAATTCAAAATGGAAAGTCCTTTATCAAATGGCAAAATCAAAAGCTCAAATACATCAAACGAATGGAAAACAACTGTCATATATATAGATTGCTCGCACGGTTTTGTCAATAGAACGAAACTATATAGTACTGTCATACAAATATGTTTAGGTAGCTGTAAAACCAGGTAAAACCCACCATTTTCTTCCAAAATGCGTGTACCAAGTCAGGAATATTGGCTGCTAAAAGTGAATTATTTTATTTCACTATTTCACTTTCATTAATGATTGAACAAAAAAAATCATATTTTATTTTGTTTTATATCTCGTAGCTATTACCCATTTAATACATGTTTTTTTTATTATTATTGTTTTATTATAATTACCTAGATAACAACCGAGAACATCAGACATGAAATAATGTGTGTACTCAAAAATATGTTTTTTGCAATTATTTAGCTTAAAACCATCATTATTTTACGTACGGAAAGTTGAAGAAACAAACCGCTATTGGAATGGAAATAACCAGCATAAGATTTTCCCATCTACGAACCAAATAAGCTTCTACTAGTAAGACATATTCACCAATGCAATAAGCAATGTACAATACAAACGATGCCATGACCCTCTTGTCTGGTCCAACAAGTTCTGCCGCTGAAATAAGATACGCATATTTTGCATAATATATGTATAACACGTGCGACTCTAACTCCATTCATTGATGAATTAATTTCATATTTACACCATTAGTGTAAAGTAGCAAGCAGAAAGAAGATTGAAGTGTCGGGTAGTTTTGTGCATTCCACAACAAGTGTCACAAAATAAGCAGGAGCACTTGACTTTGCCCCGTTGTTCGGGCTTCAATGTGATGATTTCGTGGACGATAATTTATCTGCTCATCTTTTTCTCTTTGTTTATAATTATGGTCTCTCTTTCTGGTTTTTTACGATATTTGATTGCCTCTTAGATATCTTCTCCCCTCCTTTAATTGTAAATTCACTTTATCAGATGATAAAAATATATTGCCTAATGAAAATTACATTTTTAAATATTAATCCTCAAGACACAGTAATTATAGCTTTTGAATAAATAATATATCAACATTTCTAAAACACAGACTGAAGATGCATACTTAAAAACGAAAATCAAACACAAGAATCAGAAAATATAAAAATCGGAAAACAAAGAAAAGAAGAAAACAACTCGTCCTTCCAAGTTACATAGTATCTAATCTTAATATTTTTGCGAGTTAAAACAGTACTATTCGAATTTTACTTCAGATTTGAAATTGCCTTGATTTTACATTATTTTACTAAAACCTTAAAATAAATACAATAATCGGTTCATGATCATTAATTGTTAGTGATGTGAAAGATAACTAACCAAGAATAAAGGATACAACATAGTGGTATACTCCCCCAACAGAGTTGAAGAATTGACATACACCAACTAAGTATAAATTTGACATCCATCGACTGATAACATTGGAGAGAAAAAGAAGGATGATACCAGTAATTATAACAGGTTTTCTTCCCCATCTGAAAAATAATCAATTATATATATATACAAGTCTAAATTGAAACAACGTTCAAACCCATGATTGCGTTGGATAAAGACCGCAATTTTTATACGTGTGCATGCAAAAGACATTTCTTGGTAGAGGGATCTTGATACAGCACAAACAACATTTTCCAAAAGACCAAAAAATATGAAAAAGTATATAAGTACGTCTAAACAAGTGACAACTCTAAGACAGATTCATCCGTTGGATCACCAGTGAAGGTGATACACGGTTGAAAACACATATCATATTCATAATTACTCTAAATATCAGCACAACAATGTTAAATCTGCAAATTTGCGGAAGCAAATTTTCAAACTCATGCTATTGGGATACAGAGACAACACCGCCTGCACTGTGTCCAGCACTCTAGACCACTCGGCCACCTAGACTAAAACAAACATTCAGCTTTCGGTGGCCTAGTGTCACCTTTCTTCGTCAGTAGAATCTAGAGTAATTGTTGTAACACAGTGCATGATATATTAGGCATGAAGATTACTTTAAATATTAACACAACAATGTTAAATCTGCAAATTTGCTTCCCAAAATTTTTGTTCTTCCCTCGCCGGAATTCAAATTCATGCTATTGAGATATCGAGACAACATCGCCTGCAATGTGTCCAGCGATCTAGACCACTCGGCCACCTAGACTGACCTAAAATTCCGCAAATTTGCAGATTTAACATTGTTGTGCTGATATTTAGAGTAATTATGAACGTTATATGTGTTTTCAGCCTTGTATCACCTTCACTGGTGATCCAATGGATCGATCTGTCGGCGAGTTGTCACTTGTTTAGACGTACCTATCATATAATTATTTCTGTGACTGCATCTTACGATTCTCTACGATAGATAATTTAGCTAGTCTGCAATTAATTCCATCTTCATGCCTAATATAGAATGTACTGTGTTACAACTCTAGATTCTACTGACGAAGAAAGGTAACACTAGGCCACCGAAGCTGAATTTCAAGTTCAGTCTAGGTGGCCGAGTGGTCTAGAGCGCTGGACACAATGCAGGCGGTGATGTCTCGATATCCCAATAGAATGTGTTCGAATCCCGGCAAGGGAAGAACAAAAATTTGCTTCCGCAAATTTGCAGATTTAACATTGTTGTGCTGATATTCAGAGTAATTATATATATATATATATATTACTATTCCTGTTCAAAAGGTTATTTCTTTTGCGTAATAGACAATAGTGTTCGACAATTTATTAAATATGCATATTATATATCTCTCTGACA